TTAAATAATATTTTTGCAATAAACCTTCTTATGTATTTCATTATCATTATACAGCGGCACATTTGAAGTGTAAAAGAAAGCGCTTCTTGCGCCTACAATAACAGCATATTACTAAGAGAGACCATGAACTAAAATGAAGAACTCCTAGAAATTATTAAATTCATTTTCCAATTAGATAACAAAAACTAATTTATAGGTATATTCAATACAAAGTGGAAAATGGATCTGTCTTCGATGAAATAGCAAAGAAAGCATTCATTTCATTGCATTCAGAACCTTACATTGAACCGCCATTGTTAACTTTTGATCAGAAGCGGTTAAAATGGCTCCAACGATACATGCGAAAGCAATTAAAATCCGAGAAAAAGGGTAGAAATTAGCTAACATTTGTAGGAATGAAATTTCAACGCAGCGAGTGAATTTTTTGAAATTTATCTTAATTTGAAATTGAACTTTTCATATTATTTCATTATGTATTATTGTTGTAGAAAAGAAAATGATTTCTTCACCAAAAGAAGCATTGCATCAAGTGAATCAAGAAGTGAGCTTAGGAAGATTAGATGATTCAAGACCTACAGCACATTGTGATGGTCAAATTTTCAAGCAACGTATCCGTATGGACGGCTGTTTATCAAAGGTAGGTATCATTTATTCCAGTTAGTACTCTCTCATTCTTTCCGAATATTATCAAACTGCTTTTTAAGCTTATAACTGAGGCCAATAATAGCGAACAAATCGTATTTAGATAAATTTACAGTGAAAAGTTAGCATCAAAGATTGAATTAAACTTCTTCACATGGACCAAATAGTTTAATTGTGTAGAATCAAGGAAGAAAATGATATGGTTAATAAGAAATTGCAGGTAGTACACAATAGATTTTGCCACGGGACTTGTTCTTCTTATTTCATACCACGTTTGAGGCCACGAAAATTAAAACTGGATGCTATGTTCCAAAGCTGTTCAGTGTGTAGGCCAGCTGAGTGGGATACTGTCGAGGTACATTTTCATTTTTGTTGTCGTTTCATGAAGGCAACACTAAATTTTCCTCAATATTCTGCCAATAATTTATTTAATCAAATTCAAAAACTCAGTGCTGGAAAGCAATCGAAGAAGGAAAAGTAGTTTCTTCTTCAAAAAATCTAACCATAAATGAATAATGATGATCAAAAACCGTGGGAAAAGCGGAATGAAGACATTTTAATGATTCTGCTTTTGATTAGGTGAAACTGGACTGTCCAAGGAAGAATCCAAAGGAACTGAAGCGAAAAGTAATCAAAGTGAAAAAATGTAAGTGTATCGCATTAAGCGGCAATAATCTAGAAAGTGAAGAAGATGGTCGGTAATTAACCAGGTTGTACTCCTCCTAACCATCCATTTGATTTATTTTTTATGCCCTCTTTTTTAAAGCAAATTTGAGGTTTCATGTTCATTAATAATATCCAAATTATACTTTCGGAAAATTATCAAAGAAAAAATTTGATTACAATAAAACACAGTAATTCTAATAATAAACTTTAATAATAATAATGAAAGTAGGTAACAAATTAGAAATGATATTGAACTGAAGAAGAAATTCTTGTGCTATGGATTCTTGCTAAATAGAGTTTTTTGTAGTTATTCATTCGGTCATGACCAGTGAAAAAAAAATCTCATATTATTTTGCAAAATAATCGAAGAACATAAATTATTAGAACAGATTCCCAAAATTGGGATCAAGTAATCTCGAACTATTAGATTCAGACAAAGATTTGAAAACTTAAAAATCAATTTCATCTACTCTAAAGTTATAATTTTTACCATTAAAATGACATTTTGTAATTTTAGCATGGGTCTCAAAATATAAGGACTTCATAGCTTCTCGTTTCTAGTAAGCTTACTTCTTCCTCATTCTACTGTAATGTTCAGCTATTTTATCTTATCAAAATGAAAAAAAAAAAGAAGCATACGTTCTTTGAAGTTGTTTATTTTGAAATTGTTTGCTTATATCTATCAAAAACAAATTTGGCTTCCTCATGAAATACAGATGATCTCACGTTTTTTTATTATTATGTATGTTATGTTTGCATTAACATGTATTTGTACTGTTTTGTTTATCGAAAAAAATGTTTTCTATATGCGTCATATTGGCCATTTCTACACTTAGCTCCAAAATTTATCTTATAACTCCTTTCTCATTCATTATTCCTTCACAGATTTCATTTATTTCGAAAAAGTTGCCTCCTATTTCAGTTTTTTAAATATTCATTTGTATTCTGTCCCAAAATTCTCGATAACAAAGTAAAAACTTTCCAAAATTTAAGATTTTTTTCTTATTTCAGAATTTTAGTATATCAAATTTTTATACATTAAAACTATTACGAATGATGTATTGATTCGTTGGATAAATGAAGTTGTGTTCATATAAAATTGATAGTAGACATTTGTTCTATTAGTTTTGATAAATTATTATTTTTGACAGTGCAAGATGAGAATGATTGGATTAAATTGTGTATTTTATAAGATATTACTGTTTTTTGATGCTGGCTATTCTGTTCTTTGGATAGAAATTGCTTTAATTATATTGGTTTATGTTCAAGATAATAATGAAGTGATTGGTACTTCAAATGACATCTTTTTCATCAAATAATTAATCTGCATAAGGAGCTTGATAAAAAAAATAATGAAGGAAATAAACAATTCCATTGTTCATATTTTCAAATTTGTAATGTTTTTGGAAAACAAACTTCAACACGTTTGAAAATTTGATAAACCGCTATGAATAGTTACTCACTTAATAACAAATCTGCTACAAATTTTTGGAGTGAAAAAAAAGTTATTTGAAATTGCTGAAATGAGGGCGAATACAGAAAACAGCTGATATCTTTTTAGAAGTGGCTCCTGAGAGGCGCCAATGAGAATGCTCGAAGTGATCGGTTTAAGGCGCCGACAATCAGTCAACGTTGCGTTGTCCATTCTTTTCCTCTAATACTAGGTGAGTCGCCATTCAGTCGATCAACTGTTGATTATTGTATTAAGGCCCGAACAACTGAGCGATAGATCAAGGCGATCAGATCAGATCAAATCAGATCATGCCAACCTTTACACCATTATTGCTTACTTTGAAGATCACTTCCTACCTTCATTTTATATCTTTATCATATCAAACGTGATGATATGACAGCTAGAATAATTGAGGTGTAAGCTATTTAACCCTCCATTTCATTGGATTTTGTAAGAGCCACTATTTCTAAAACTTCATTACAAGTAGTTGGTATGAAATAAAATGGAACTGAAACATTCTGATTTCACCACTAATATTCAATAAGGAGGAATATTAGGACAAAAATAATTAACAACCGCAAATTTTATAAATCCTGTCAAGCCAACATAAGTAATAATTCATTCTTGGATTATATAAACTATCTTAAACAATTAATAAAACAAATCCGAAAGTTGAATTAAACAATTAATGTAAATCAATTCACGCTAACTTCCTGCTTGCATAAAACAAATATGCCGTTGAAATTTCAACTATGAGTACAGATCATAAATGACAATTCAAATTTTGGAACACTTAATAGCCTTATTTTAAATTTAAAAAGTTGCTAGAATAGATTTTTAAAGCTGAACACATTTACACGCTATAAATCATTGCTCTAATCTAAGGATGAGATTCGTATGATGCCGGAAAGTCAAAAAACTGAAAAAAGGATGACAAAACTCATCTCATCCAGTTCCTGATTTTTTCTGGAATTAATGTGCATATTTGTCATTAGTTCGGTATCAAATTGAAGTATGAATCAGTCTAGTTAGATTTCGTTTTTTTTCCTCAAAAAATTCTTCCGAGGAATAAACAAAGTTCAATAAGTTAACGGAAGTAGTGTGAAGTGAACCAATGTTCATTTAGTTATAAAAATAACAGACACTGAGAATTGGAAATATTGGCGCCAGCAAAGTTCAAAGAGATCCTTCTCTTCTACTTCTGCCATATCTCATTCACTAGTATACTACTGCACATAGATCATTCATTGTTCATGGACTGATAGTTGAAGTGCTGCTTTGTAGTGAACATGATACATGAAGTAAGTAGTGCTGGCATGCGAGTAGAACTTCAAACAAACTTGTAGAAGACTTCATCTACCTGCATATCAAGTTATACGGTTCAATTTCAACCTTCACCAAGTTAAATCTAATTGCCAGAGAGTTTTCGAAAAAACTTCCCTATGTCTGTACTGAGTACTGGACATAACACCCTAAATATATATCATTTCTTTGAATCGTCTATTAAAGAATGATTCCAATACAAAATCTGAAGTAATCAATTTTGATCTAAATGTAACTCACACATTCTAGCCACTCAAAATTCATCATATACCGATAAGCATGATAAAGTTTGACACTTAATTGATTAAATGAAAATTGATGAGAAATAACTTTAAATGGGATTTATTGTTGAACAGTTCAATACTTATCGCAATTAGTATTGCAAACAAAAAGGTGGCAGATAAATCAATCCCTAACATTACATAATCATAAAACAAAATGCACTAGCTCCATGAAAAGGCCACAATCATGTCAGCATTTCTCGGGAAATCCGAGATTTTTTAATTTTACTTTCCAGCAAATTACATATATTTGTTGCACAAGCTCTTATATTTTATTACAAATAATCACAATCGAGCAAAAAAAATAAAAATAGAGTATAAAAGATTGATGAATTACAAAACAACAAACATCGATGTTCAAAATCTTGAAAATTTGAGCTGAAAAAAATCCATTCAACGCAGTTTATTTAATAAAGAAGTTTTAAAAAATCACAACAAAGCACAAATCACCCGTATCAAAAGATATGTCTATAAAAATTCAATGACAAGAAAGCCCATATCAAATAACAAAACAGTTGTTTTAAGAAAAATATAAAAAGGAAATGTGAGTGCTTTAGAATTCTAAAGTTCACGAGAAAAACATCCATATGACAGTTATCAGATGAATCTAGTTAACCACACGTAAAATCCATTAGCTAGCGATCAACGATAGGGAAAAGTAAAACATTGGATAGCATATAATCGAGGTCCGGTAACTGGTCATGAAGAGCCCGAGCATCAAGTGAAAGTTCGCTCACTGGCTTATATTTTCGTTTATCACCATTTTTGTTTAGTACGTAATCCAATACAATTCTGGAATAAATAAACATTGATAGTTCGTAACAAACAGCATAAAATATCTGACAACCATTTTCTGCAAACAACACTGAAAAATTCAACAATTCATGGCATACATAGTTTATCTTCAGCAGAAGCAGCAGTTTTTTAACATTTGAAAATTATGACAAGAAGATGCGTTTTGCATTATAAGATACAATGCATTCTCCAACGGTCAGAAAAAGATCAATTAATTAGATTAATTGATTTCCACCGCATAATGCAAATAAATCACTTACTGTGTATTGCTTGGAATATCTTTTTCACTTTTGCTGTTTCCAGCATCATCCGGGAAATTTAGACCAAACGCAGTAAGATCCTGTAAGAAACCAGTAAATTTATTTAATACCAAATCATGATTTTAAGGATGTAGAAATTCCTCCAATGCATAAATTGGCATGTGGCTATCAGTTTTGATTTCGATGCATCTCATGCCTGCACTTGTTGGCATTTTTTACCAAAAACAATAATAACATTGTCATAAGCAATATGTTGTACAATGGCAAATATGAAACATAAGCTGCATCATCTCTATTTCAAATATTAAAAATTTTCAGCAAGTTTTATTATCCAATTACTACAATTTAGAAAATAATAAATAGAACCTTCTGCAATGTTGAGAACATCTGTACGGTTGGCGAATCATTAGCAGGTAAGCCTTTATTACTCGTGGATACCAAAAAATCCAAGTCTAGTGATGCAGACGATACATTTAATGCTGCAAAAAAAAAAAATTTCTCCTGGAGGAATGCCTGTTCACTGGATATAAATCAGTTCTAAAAGAAGTAGAGAACATCTTTAACTTTCAGTTACGAAAGCTGTCTTGCTAAAGTTATTATACTACAACTAAATTCCGACGTGAAGGTTGAATAAATAGTGTCTACTCACTCTCGAGATTTGCATCTTTTTGTGAAATCAATAAAAACTATGAAAATCACTTGAACCAAAGATCATCAAATGCAGAAGACGAACAATATTCCATTTAATGAAATGAAAAAAAGAACATACATCCTGCTTTAAGAGGATTTGTTAGACCGGAATTATTCCAGTCAAAGTGCACTGGTGGGACGGCCAACGAATCAACAGTAATGGATCTTGAAGGTGCCTGCTGACCGATTGAAGACCTGTAAGCAGTACAATCTGACCTCTTCCTGTAACTCATAAATGTAAAATGCAATCAGTGATGCTGGTAAACTTCTCCAAGTCTATACTTCTATTTACATCAACAAACATTGTTTCCGTCTCCTATAAATAGCAAGAGTGTCAATAAAAAGCACATTAGAAATAATTAATAATTAAAGGATTTATATCATATGGTAGACGAGGTAGACGAAAAATTAATGAACATTGTGAAAACAGACGAAAAAAAGGAATTCGAGCAAATTAACTCATTCAAATATTTGACATAACCTATGTTCAGGCTAATCGAAAATTTCAAAGGAGGCTCTTAGAAAGACATACAAAACAGATATAAAAGCAAGAAAAGCTCTAACTTACCTTTTGATATCTGCATGAGGTAAGAACTCAGCCGAATTTGATTGAGGAAGCCTAAAAATGATAATTAACTTATAAAAATAACAACTAAAGTATTGTTAGATATGGATAAGGACTGAAACATTACGGACTGAGTTTGCAAAACTTACGAATTTTTTTCATCTGCTAATGTAACCCTAGTGCAACTTTCTACCACAGACACTGGTGCAAGAACTGAACTTTCTTCAAGCTGCTGTGCAAATACTGGAAGATCTGAGTTTCGAATAACAGTCTGAAAGAAGGAAAGGATACTGCCTAAAATGTGGTAAATTATTTGAAATTCATTCGTCAGAATGATGTAATTATAATATTTTACAGTCTTTGTGTCTTTAAATTGCAATCTTACAATTTATTAAGAAAAAAAGATATTCGAGTAATACTCGAATATAAAGACTTTTTTGTATTAAAAAATAACAAACGGACTTGATTCACATCAATATCCAATGAATATAAAAAGCAACTGCGGATCAGTGAATTGTGCCACTGCAATTTCAGCGCTAGCGCCTCCTCAATAATGCTTACTGCTATCCATAGCATTTCATCAGGCCTAAACATGCATTAAAGCGGGACTGGAACATTACTGGGTATACATCACAAATATTGTTTTGAATTTCATTCATTAGCGAAATGATTATTTCACAAAACAAAAATTTTTGATGAAGTGAAAAAATCATAAAACTATATATAATTTTCTACTAAAAGCACATGCTAAGCCTGAAGATATTTGTAAAACATAAATAAGTATTGCTACTGATTTCTAGACTTTCTAAATTTTATCATGAATCATGTAAGAAAAGAAATTTTTTACCTGTTTTTGTCTTTTGTATTTATTGCATCATTTAACGTTTCGTATATGCCGCTGTCATGAGTATCATGCGGCTCGTCATTGCTTTCTTCATCCACAGCAATTACTGTCCACAGTTGATCATTGCATAAATTTTCCAGAAGAGACGGCAATAATGGCTAAAAAATATAATCCAGAATTATAGTTTTCAAAGCGTAAATTCTTTGAATCATTAGTTCAATCCGTAATAATCAACAAACCATTTTTTTTTAAGACACCATTGCTTCATGGCAATATAATGCAAAAGAGATCAAGTGCATAAAGAGGAGACATGTAATAAAACGATTTGTTACTGGAAAGTATTGAATAATTGTAGAAGATGCTAAATAACGGATGATGACTTATATTCCATCAGTCCCATCAGTTCTTATCAAACAGAGTTGAATCTAAAGTTCTCCGTAAGATTACTCTAATAAACAATGAATAGGTGTAAGAAAATGGTTTCAACTTATCTATTTTTTTTTAATTTATAAACTTACATTTTCAGTGGTTAACTGCAATTCCGGTTCTGAAAACGAAAAATCTGCAGTCGACTTATTTTTCATATCAGGCAATGAAGAAAATTCGAAATTTGCCCAATTATCATTTTCATTTTCCTCAGTTTTCTCCTGAAGCATGGGAAGGTATAAAAAGATTGCTTATGATACATTGTCAAATTTGAGAAACATTGGTACCTTTCCTTTAATTAGAATTTAATGAACAAAAATGAATATGCACCGTTTTAGCGAATTTTTCGAAGTCACCAAACTCATCATCATCTTCATCGCTTTCCAAAGTACTTTGCATAACTTTAACTTTTTCATTTCCACCATTCAAACCGATATTCTCCAACTTAGAACTGTCTTTTGTCTCGTTTTCCATATTTTCTGCTGGAATTAATTCCTCTCTCCCTTTTTCGAAAGCTGGAATATCGTGTGCTCCATCCACCTGAATCGACTAACTAAACATTGAGGGAAAATTTATAAGAAATACATATGCAAGAATAATCAACCTATTGACAATTGAATACCGACCTTAACAAAATCAGCCGTAACGAAGCTCTTTACCAAATCCGACTCTTCAGTGCAGCCTAAAATATCAGGCGATAAATGCTGAGGTTTAGAACATCGTGCAAACTGAGGAGATCGAAATCGCAAAGACGAAGACAAAGGGTTCTGCTTTCCATCATAATTGCTATGCAGTAGAGTTTCTGTAACAAGATTATGAGCGCGATCTGCAGTTTCGCCTGTTTCTATAAACTCAGTATGAGGCAATGCCATCTCGCAATTTACAAATTCCGAATCTTTTTCAGTCTGAAGTACGGCTGACATATGTGCATCATTCCCATTGTAATCATCATCCGCAACAGCAGTAAACCGATTACGATCGCTTAAATCAGCAAAGGTAGCATCGCATGAGGTTTCGATACATGCAGCTGGAGGCAGTGGTGGCGGATCATCTTCAAACATTCTCTTTAATTAATAAACTAATCTGAAAAGCAAACAACAATGGCATTCTCATAACTTCTTCAAGAAAATAAATGTGTCGTCCTGCGTATTGGAAAAAATGAATTATATCTGCTTGATGTAAATTTTGTTCGAAACAGTCTGTGATATTAAAAGAAATTTGGCATATAAAATATCAAAAAAAAAAAAAACGAAGGGAAAATTTACGAATGAAACACAGGAATTTCTTTTTTTCACAATTACGACTACTACCACAACTTTGACCTTCGTTCACAATGCATATTGCTCAGTGAACAGTGGGCATTTTACTTATCCCTACCGTAAGGAGATAGATAACGAATATTTTCTTGATAAATTTTAATTAAGTTTAAATATCGTTGGCAAGTGGTATATATAGATAAGTTATGCTATATCCTTGGTAGATTTTTAAACAAAAATACTATTCAACATTAATATGACTCAAATAGTGAACAAACCTTCCTTTTGATGTTTAGAAGTATTCTAAAAGAAACCTATCCAAACAACGCATCTTTTGGATCATCAAGTACACAGTAAATTACATTCCAAAAATAATATTTTCGCAGTCCACAGCATGCAACTAGTATGCAACACAGTAAATAAATCAAGTAAGTTGGTTGTAAAGTTGCCCAAAGGGTAAGGAAGTATGGGTAAGGTTGGCGCTTCCTGAACGACAGGTGGGGAGGAGTGACTGGCAATAACAAAGCATGGATAGATTTTTATAAAATTTATGATAAAAAATCTAGCTTAGAATAAAATTTTAATGAACAAATCTACTGGAATAATGCTAATGTCAACATTTGTTTAGGAAAGTTTTTTCCCCTGAATTTTCGGTAGATCATTTCAAATTGAAACGATCTGGAAACAGCATTACTTCATTTTCGAGTCACTTTATCCTTTTCATTGTTTCCATTTTCCTTTTACTGTACACAATTATACTATCATTTTTAAAGACTTTTATCTACATGTGGGGTAATGGAGAATGTGTAATAAGAGGGATTTTCTGAATTTCTCATACGAAATGTTTTACAGCCGCTGAAGTTCTATCATTTACCAGCACAGCTATTGGATGTTTTCCTATTAGGTTTTTCGATATTTTTCACTTCACTACTTCCGCTGAAATAATTTCGGTGATAGTAGTAAGCCAGAATTCACAAGGCATTATGAGCTTGGAAAATTGAATTAATCTTAACTTTAAAGTTAAATAATTGCTTAACAAATAAAAGCAAAGAGAAGGGTAATGATTGAGAAAGCAGGAGAAATGGCATAGGCGTGCGACACGACGACAAATACCACCTGCAGGAAACCCGTTACTGCTATCTTCATGCATTGCTGAGTGCGTATTGATTGTTATCGCATTAGTTCCTTTGGTTCCTTTGTTTCGTTCAATAAAAATTTTTGAACTAAGCAAAAAAAGCAAGGATGGAGGTAGACAGAGATTTTCCTGTGTCTCTGATTCCCTGTGTGACAAGTTTGCATTCGATTTATTTTATGAATATATATGTAGGTGATAATTTAATACCTGTAGTAGAACATGAGGACTAATCAAACCAGTTCTCACAAACAAACTAACTTAGCTTGACTAGGCGTGACGTACAACAGCACTTTGAGAGCACAGCATCGAGAAGTCTGTTATTCATGAACATTTTTGTCATGCAACTTCTAAACTGTCATGTCTACACAGAAAACATTTCATGCCAATTTACAGAATTAATGACGATATTTTCCAAAAATTTTATTTTAATGAAATTCGTTGTCAAATGAAACGTTAGCTGCAGAACATATATCACTTAACTTTCTTCCTCATATTTTCACCAACACTGCCTTAAATGTCGTATTAAATTTTCATGGATTATTTAAATTAAATCTAGAGACTTGCGAAATTCTGAAAGAATAAAATAAGATGGTTCCAACTTTACTAGTTTATTTTATCATCTGATACTGGCTCTGACGGTATCTCTATTTTACTCTCTTTATCCTGTAATTTCGAAAAAGATCATAGTCAATTAAAATAAACACTCATTTGTGCAGTACAATTTTCGAATATTGGTTGAAATCATTGCAAAAAGAGCAAAAGCGAAGCGATGGCAGCAAGTGTTACAGCAGAAACATTGGATAAAATGATAGCTGTACTAGAAGAAATGGGTACCAAAAAAGTAAATCAGTTTACCCTGACCAAATTGATATTCCATTCTTACCCAAAAGTTTACAATTAATGTCTTAAAGCATGATAATAATATGCATTCCACATAGAATGTATACCCCACACGCACACCCTTCTTAATTTGTTCTGAAACAGATGTTCTGCTCATTATTCGTAGTGACTAGCATGTTCAAAATTAAGACAATTTATTTCCGCAGGTTAATTAATGCACAGACAAATGACTATTGAGGAGTTGTGATGGGTGAGAAACTAAAAATCTTCAGGAGATTCAAATGAATCAAAAAATAACATTAGAAGAAATACTGACGTTAATGTCCACTGCTGGGCTAATTATGATGGAAGAAGGTTCGTTGGTTGAAGTTGAAGTGCCAATCAAAGTGGTTGGCGATATTCATGGCCAGTACGAAGTAAGCAAACTAATCACCTTTCGCACTTCTTTATTTCTCTCAATAGTTGCTTAGATATATACCTTGTGTTTTCAAAACTTTAGAGAACTTGAATTGGAAAAAAGAAGAATTAAGAAGATAAATTGCTTCCCTACTAACCGCTCATTTATTAAATTGGAAATATAAAACCAGGATATGCATAAACTATTTGGAATAATCGGCAAAGTACCAGAAGTGAAAATGATTTTCTTGGGAGATTATATTGATCGTGGACCGCAGTCCATTGAAACAATAATTTATCTGTTATGTTTAAAAGTGAAATATCGAGATCGCATTTTTTTGCTTCGAGGGAATCACGAGACGCCAGCAGTAAATCGTATATATGGCTTCTATAATGAATGTGCTCTTAAATATGGGTTAGCTATTTCATGGCTTAAATTGGAAATATTCTGAGACATTTTCATCGTTTCCGTAAAATCTTTCGAAATAATATCTAAAAAAGTGCTTCAGCGTTGGCTTGTGGTGGGATTTCCAATCATTCTTCAATCGTATGCCCATGGCTGGACTCATCTCTAAACGTGTCCTTTGCATGCATGGTGGATTATCACCGCATCTTACCAGTCTTGAACAAATCCGTCAAATTAAACGTCCTTGCGAACCATTGGTAAGTGTCAACAGCAATTACAATCTTCTTAGTATATTTCGTCTATTATTTGTTAACTTAATAAAATCTATAAATGAAACTTCAGGATCGTGGATTGTTAATCGATTTGGTTTGGTCAGATCCGACAAATAAAGGAGATGGATGGTTCTACTCCCCACGTGGCCTCAGTTATTCATTCGGCAAGGGTGCTTTGCTTGCAGCTTGCAAACTGCTAAAAATTGATCTTGTCATCCGGGCTCATCAGGTAACATTTTTCTTTGAACATGAAAGATATGAGAATAAATATGCTGGATGAATCTTCTCGGACCAAAAAAGTTTTGAGGTTGTACAAGACGGATACGAATTGATGGTTGGTGAGAAACTGATAACTATATTTTCTGCCCCAAATTATGCCGGACTGTTTAATAACGCAGGTGCCGTTGTTTGCATCGACGACGACTTACAGGTTTACTGGAAGTCTCAAATAAATTTACGAAATATTTACCTAAGTCAATAAATTATCGCAGAAAATAGGTATGTTAAACAAATTAGTGATGTCAAACTGTCTTGTTACACTCGCGACAGTTTCATGTGCAATCGAATAAATGTCATTCCATAATAACTTTTTTAAAGAATTTCAGGCATTCCTGTCATATTAAGCATTAAAATATTGAAAATTCCAGGTTACTTTTCAACAACTTCGCGTTCCTCCAGGTCCAACTTGCGTGCGGTCTTGTCCAGAAGTAGCCTGTGCTCCTGGTCAAGCTCTCACCTTACCACAGATCAAGCAGGTAGCAAGCATATCTCAGGTAGGCTATACATTAATATTCATCTGACTTACAAAGAATAAGGTTTAAAATATTTTCAGGCAAAAACCATTGTACCGAGTGCAGGAGAAGTGAAAGAAGGAGAAAAAGATCAAAACGACAATAAGAAGGGAGATGAGAGAGAAGGAAAGAAGGAAAATGGCAGTAAAGATACCGAGAAGAAAGAGGAAGAGAAGAAAAAGGAAGACGAGAAGGAGAAGAGGGATGAAGGAAAGAGTACAGAGAAGGTAAGTAACACAGTAGGAAAGTTTAAGTTACCTAGTAATGAAATATGTGCAATAAGGCCTTTTACAACTTCCGCATCGTCCCTGTATACCTTTAGAAATGTACGATATCTTATTATGAATGAAATTTTATTTAAGAATAAACATATCATATTGCCGTATTTCATCACATTCCTGCACTTTTGACTTTTTTCTTACAATCTGCGCCTCAGTGGCTGGAAATCATCGTTAGGTTTAGGGTCAAACTAAAGGATTGTCAAATTGGTAAATCGCATAAGTTATGTAATGTTGTGATTGAAATGAAAATAAAAATGTTTCAGAAATAAATGGTATCACGTGAATCTTAAAATATCAAACTACACGCTAAAAATTCATCGCTATCATTTGGATCTCTTTATTTTCACTTTTTCCGTCTTGTCTTTCGGAATACGTAAAGTGATTATATACTACGAAATATTGTCGAAACACTGATTGCTATTAGTTTCATCATTGACCCTTAAGAATTGCATACAATACTAATGAACAGTGAATTCAAAATAAAAATTGTATTATAAATGATAAAAGAAAGGAAATTTATTCGATGACTTACATGGAAGGCCTTCGTTTAATTCAATTAACTTACTTCATTTTGATTCTTAAATTGAATTAAACAAAAAATGATAGTGCTCCATTCAGTGATGCTATACCATTGTCATTTTGGTGTGGAGAACACCTAAACAGACAATCAAATTGCTAAATAAC